GTGTGAGAGGAACCCCACCGAGGCCTTCAAGAAGTAAGAACTTAAGTTTCTGTTAAAGGATCCAGGATTAGTTGTAACATTAGACTTTATTTGATAAACATGTTTTATTTGTAAAATAAAGACTAAAATTACTGTAGGCTGTTTAGTTTTTATAATTTAAAAATATTTCAACTTGAACTGAGCCATTTTATTTACACACAAAGCATTCTGGGTAAATGATGTGGATAGGTCCTCGGTGCGAGGCTGCTAGCGAGCTATATCCACCCTGAAGGTTAATCTTGGACAATATCTGATGATCGTGTAACACCTCTTTCGGGTTTTTTTTACAATAAACTAGGAAATAAAAACAGGCTAAGATCAGAAGACTAGATTTGTCTACTGGAGCTGGGGAACAGTAATCAGTGACAGACTGGAAGTTTTTCTTTTGATGGTACCATATGTTATAATGAACCAAAAACAATTAACAAAAATATGACAAATTAATAACAAAAATAAACAGAATACCATAAATTATATACAACGTGCTGCAGCAGTTATTGTTCTTAAGTGCACTAGTTACTATTTTAGGAAATAATCAAAATCAAGGCAAGTTCTGGTCAGAGATAAATAAGGAAGTCCATCATCAATGTAGGGATGTTGACATGTCGTCAGCAGCTGCTGCCATTTTCTTCCCAAACTGCTGGGACCAGATTTTGCGAGGCTGCTCGGTGCGTTTGCTTGTAATTTCCTCCTGCTTCNACTTCAGATAATCACGATTTTGGTGTTATTTGTATGGTTTGAAATGTTCGTTTGGAATCTGCTGTCAGATTTAATATTGGTGCAGGATTAAACATTTATCCACATCCCTAATCAGTGGTGCCAAACGTGCCATGTCGGACACAACTAACTTTTCCCAAATGAGAGTTTGTTGAAGTCAGAATGTTCAGGAAGTTTTAAGAGTTCAAGCACGATGAAGTGTCATCTGAAGACTGCAGTGGGTTGGAAGATAGTTTTGTGTGGGCAAAGCTAGTGAGACGGGGGGCTTAGGCTGTATCAGCCTCCTACCAGACCATAAGATGAGTTCAGTTGTAGGCCGGGGTTCTGAACTCCTAGCTGAGTCGTTTGTTAGCTCACCATCCACAAACCTCCAAGCTGATTGACAAGGTTTGAAGAAATCCAAGTTCATCCAAGTCCATCCAAGTCCACCTGGCCTGTGTTAGACAAACAGGGCTGTAAGGTTCTAAAGATCAGGCTAATAAAAGCTTGGTCATGTGTACACAAATATAAATCCAAAATTAAATAAATCCCAACTTCAAAATAAATACGATTAATATTTACAGTTAATACTTTTCTAGTGTTTCACATAGAACAAAGCAATAAATAATTTATCAGTGACATATAATGTAAACAAACAATGAAGCAGCTTAACAAACAATTCAGACTCACCAATTCCAAGGTAATTTCACACTTMATTGGTTGAAAATGTCCCTCTATGAGCTGATCATCCAGTCTAAAAAGTTTTACATCAAAATACTTGTTCAAATTATGTTTTAGAAACACTTTAAAGAGCAAATTAACTGTTTGTAAAACAAACCTGGTTGTAGCCATCAACCTGCTTCCCCCCAGTCATCTGATTGACAGAAAGTCAGTGCAGCTTGGACCTTTTCCCAATGACCATAATTGGTCAACAGTGATCACATGACTTCTCAAGAGGCATTCACAGACAAAAAAATGTGGGAAAGTAAAGAACACATAGGTCTGGGGAAAATAATGTAGATACATATACATAGTTTTTACCCCAGGCTACAATCGACTCTTTTAAATGAAACCAGAGAGCGTTGACAGAGAGGAGAAGGTAGAAATGACTCAGC